TCTCCTGCTGTCCCACGCTATGCTCTAGCTCTTTGCTCAAGTCCTAGACATGATGGTAAAACTGTTTCTTAGTAATCTGGAGCCAGCAGCTGTTTTGGTAATACCTAGAGCCTGTAATGTTTAGCTTCATTTTCCTCCAGTTTTAAGGCTCCTTTTTATTTTTTTAAGGAGGTTGTCATTATAATAATTTGAAAGTGACTTCAGTGGTGTCTAAATGAGCAGAAAACGCAGAGAATACAGAGGAAAGGCCACAAAGTCCTACATTCACACAGTCCAAGGTCAAGACTTTAGACAGTAGCCAGCAGCAAAGTTAGAAAAGCATGCTGCAAAAGACCACCAAAATGAGGTATTAGTCTGCTTTCTTAGGAGTGAGGAACTCTCACCTAAATCCACTGCAGGCAGAGAATATTGTCACCACTACAGAATTAAGTCAAGCTGGCTTAGGAGAGGGGCTTGAATCATCCCCATGAGCTGACACAAGAAAGAAAAATTCAATCCTGAAAACAAATGCACACATACTCCTAGCCTAATGTAATAGTGGATTCAACTCTGGATAACTCATTCCTCCCCCATCTCTTACTAGCTATAACCCCGTTACTGCTGTCACTTGAGATGGCAGCTTTTTCCTTCTGAGACCTGCGGACTACATCATTCAGACTCTAGCTGTGGATTTCTAAGACTACAGCAGAGAACGCAAAGAAATTCTACAATTTGCTGGGAACGAATCGCAGAACAGCTCATCCTTCTGCAGCACAATTGTAAAAGTTACCTAGCAAGCACATAGAGAGAAACAACTGTAATGACCTCCACAGGTTAAAAATAAAATCTCCTTCATCAGCTTTAACTGCAATACTTTTAAAATGTCTGTGAATGCCCAAGTAATCCTGTCTCACTATTCCACATTCTTGCACTGCTTTGCTTTAGGGTCACCTCTCTAATTCTAGATAGTGGCTGAGTGAAATGCAAGCACAGACCTGTTAACTTTCAAAACCACAAAGAATTTGTTTTCATTTCTCTTCTGGATCCAAGAAGAGCAAGTTTATTTTAAATGCTAAACAAAACTCACCCCCAAGACCCCGAATCTTTCGCAAAAGTCCCAACCACAGAGAAAGTCGATTTCAAAGTTGTGATTAAGGATTACAATGGCACTCTCCTTCCCATACTTGTGGTAATTCTCTGGGTCAGTGTAGAGGGTGCAATCGGTGCCTGACCACCATTCCAGCAACATCACCATCTCTGTAATAAAGAACAAGAAACATATGAATGTACACGGTATATGCAAAGCTACAAATCAGTAACGTGTTGAAAAGCATTAGTCACCTCAACAGTGCATGGCAAAGAAAGGGCTGTAATGAAGCTGAAATGCTGAACACAAACCACAGTCACTCATCCGGGTACAGCAAGGGGGGACAGAGGAGAGAAGGGAATATGGACATTGCATGGAAAGGGGGAACAGAATTTTTCCACAGTGATATTGAGAAAAAGGAGTTTTATTTGAAAACTGCCAATTCAATGCTACAAATGACTTTACCAAAATATATGTGGAATTAGCACTTATATTTTACAATAGTACAGCAAAATTACATGAAGAAGAGAACAAGCTTGTAGGAGAAACAAACAGGTCTATTGCTGTCACACAGAGGTCCTCATGCTCCTCTAAAAACTACAATTAAAGACCAAGAAAGCAGTTTGGACAAGACTCTTGGAACCACATCTGTTACATGTACACCTTATGTATCATCCTGGTAACTTGTCAGAAGTAACAGTCACATGCCCTGCTATAACTGATGCGTTCTACATTTGACAGGGATGTATCCCTCATCCAGAGCAAACCAAACAGCTCGGATTGGAGGAAGGGCACCCATGCCCAGACCAAAGATTAGGCAGGTGGCTGGCAAAGAATGCAGAGCCAAGAACAGTTATTAATAGTATAACTACCTGCATATCCCTTAGTTGATGAACTGATGAAGCAAATGGGATGGAGGAGGGGTGAGGAAACAGGGAAATCACTGTTAAACCCCTCAAAATCACTCTGGATTCACACTTAGATTTGTCCCCAAAACTTAACTGTAAGAAATGATTGGTAGGACAGTGAGGGCTGTGTAAAACAGAGCTGTACTTACAAGCTGAAGAAAGCTTTCTCAGTTGCCTCCTAGTGACTACCATAGAGCTTTCATCTTCCCATTTGCTTATGCCATTAACAAGCACAGGGAAGAAGTAGGCTTTACATTTGTTGTGCTTCGAACTATAAGCTTGACCACAAGACTTATGAATCAAACCTTCATTTAGCAAAATCCCTCTGGTCTGGCATGGGAAGTTGAGGTGAGTCAGTAAAGCCAACAAGCTTGGAGAGCTCTATCTCCATGGAGATGGAAAAAGAGTCTCTAAATGCATTGGCTCTCCTCATGAGTGGCTCCTCAGCTCATGTCCTGAGCTGGGAGTACCAGAGGACTAAATGAGAGCTGCCTGTCAGGACAGAAAAGGAGTTAAGATACACGTTTGCTTCCTGTCAAAGCTATCACAAAACTTCTGTGTAAAAGCAAAGGTTTAAGGTGAGGAATTATTCTTTGCCAAGTGAAACATAACTCCTTCTCAGAGCATACCTGTGTCATAGGGAAGTCTCTGCTAGAAGGATGATACCTCTGAGATGCTTTCCTGGCTTCAGGCAATCCCCCAAGCACCACAGAACCTCATTCATCTCAGGTAAGATCAAAAACAGGCCAGTGTCTGAAACATGTCTGAAATCCTTTCAATTTAGGTCCCCTACCGGCCTCAACTAGCTGAAAACAGAAAAAAAGCTCGAAACAAGTTGTCTACATTTTTAGTCATGATTAGTGAAACTAATCGCCTGAAGGGTTTGGATGACATTGTGCTGTACACTGGAGAAGAGGTATTAGTGACATGAATGAAATTTATCTATAAGAGTTACAGCCAGGCTAACAGACAATCTCTAATCAAATAACATCACTTTAATATGATAAATTTATGTTTATGGTGCAGATAAATGACTGACTTGTCAGTTCCCCCTGCTGTTTTCAAATCAGGGCAGGTAACTACCTGCACTGCCGTGCCAGGAGTACATATTATTCAATGTATGTTATTATGCATCAAAACAGTAGTCAGAGATGTGGAGGGAGACCTAAACTACCGTATGTTCACCAAACAATGATTTCACTGGTTGGAAACTGATTCCCCAATGAAACACAAAGATGTTCAGATCTCGGGGACAGCACTGTGGAGATACAGAAGGCTATGCTTCCAGACTTTCCCTGCTAAGGGCTGCCTTCTGACAACACATTCACAATTTGGCATCTTTCCAAAGGTGTAGCTTTCTACTAGATTTGTGCTGGAAATAAAAACCCTTTACTCTCCAAAACACAGCAAAATGGAATAATAATTGGGAAAAAACCCCACACTGTAATTTGCAAATCTTTACAGAATCTACAGTCACATCCTAGGGCAGAATAGAATCATAGAAAATGAAGTTAGTGACAGGGTTAGTTTGTCTTTTGCTTAACTAGGAACCCAACTAAGAGATGAAATGACTGTCAGATGGGCTTTTCTCTTTTTTAACCTCTACTGCCATTAAGGCTATGGCCTAAAACAAACAAGAAAGATGATGACTGTGATGCCCTCCCCCCAAAAAAAAGGGCAACTTTACATGAGAAAAAAATTTCAAAGCCATCCTTCTCCAAGTTGAATAAATACCACAGAAATAGGTCCCTACTCCTCACCTCACATGCCCATTTGTCACTGAGTTGCTGTAAAAACACAAAGTAGGCAGTCAACACCTCTGTACTAAGTACAATAAATACCATCTGCCAGCCTTTAAGTTTTTAATGTTTCTTCCCCTCATCTTCCCTTTTCTGTTTCCCCTTTGTGCCAGTCTTCTTTCTCTCCATGGTTCTCAAGCAATGACCAGTAGTGTCAGTTTACCCTGCTCTTGCATCATGCTACCAGCTTGCTTCCACAACCCACCACAGAAATTTATTACCCATCAACCTGCAGTGGCAGCGCAGCAGCACAAGGTCACTCATACATACTCTCCTCCCCTCCTTCACAGTGTAGATGATGAGTGCAAGTTTCCTCCTCTTTGTACACCAGTCAGACTGTATAAGCAAAAATCAATTTATATAGGGGCGAAAAAAATTCTCTTGCTCCCAACCAGGGCTGGTCCAAGATTTCTAAGGCTTCTCCCCACCTACTTTCGTGAGGTTTTGGCATTTGAACATCACAACTGAGCTTGTAAATTCACATTCACCCACATCATGGGAGTTCCCACCTTGCAAAGCACCTTCTCCAGTGACACTTCCATGTAGTTAACGCAAAGGAAGGAGAAAAAACAAAACAACTTAAAATCCCTCTTCTCTGCTTTGAAGGTGGAGTGTTTGCAGTACGTAAAAACTCAGATTATTAAAGGCTGATGGAAGGGAGAAAACATGCCTTCAAAATGCCTACTGTGGATGCTCTGTCTGCTTAAGAATTCTGAGGGTTTCTACCTTACTGGAATAAAAAAATCCCTCACCCTGATACACAGTACATACCCTACCTTGTGCGAGAGGAGACTGCTTCCTGGCCCTTTACTGCCCAAATCTGAACTGCTTTAATGCCTGCAGTTATAAAACAAACAGCTAAAAAGAAAACATCTCCAAGGCTGAGGTGAGAATAGCACCATGAAAATAACCAGTACTATGAAAAACATTAAGGCCAAAAGGGAAACACACAGAGTTTCCTGAGACATGTTACTTTCCACCTTAAAGTTTTGCAAGAATGAGTCATTAAAACAGTTAACACTTTTCTTCTAGAAGTTTTTAGCTAACTGTTCTTGATAAGCCATGGAAACATTTGCTTACAAAATTAACCATAAAATGCAGCCAAAAGCATAGTTATCTATTGACTCAGTAAGTACAGAAATTGAAGATCTCAAGTAAGTACGTAACCTGTTTTAAACAGCAACAGAACTGTTTCCTTTGATGACAAACTTCATTTTGTTTAACCTATATATCAAGGCAACATCAAGACAGAACTTGGAAAATTCTTATGGGAATATATGGTAAAAGGATACTTAACCATCCAATACAAATAAAAAGCAAGACAAGTGGGCAAACTGTGACCACCAGTTCAAAGGCCAGACAGGATGAATGGCTCCACGATGAATGAGTACACTGCGTAGAAGACTTGGGAAAATACAAAAAAAGAAAAAAAAAAAAAAAAAAAAAAAAAAAAGAAAAAATAGGGCTAAAGACAGACTGAGAGTGTAGTCCAGCCCAAGCCTGTCTGTGGAAGAATGACTTAGATTAATAATTTACTACCTTTCCAGATTATTAGACTACACATCAACTAGGTGCACTTTGCAAACCTTTTCCATAGAATGAATTAATTTTACAGGTAACTAAGAAAAGCCAGTCTGTTATCTCCTCTCAACTATTCAAAAGCCCTCTGCATACCACAGACATGGTTAAACCCATGAATGATACCTACTATATTACCCACAAAGTGGCCTAGGAGGTTTACAAAACAATTCCAAGCATTGACGGCTCCACAGCCTCCTCACACAGGCTATTCTGGTGCTTCACTAGGCCACCTAATCCAACCAGTTATTTATTTCTGGTCTTAATTCCCTTCTTCTCTGCAGGATCTACAAGTAATTATGAGGAAAACTTGAAGGTAGGAATTCTGCTGTAAGCTTGCAGGGATTAGGTACGTGAAAAAATTTGATCTCAGAGACGGAACATTATTACACATATACTAGAATTTTAAAAAGAAAATATTATTTAAAAAATATACATATTTCCCATGAGAAGAACAAAAAGCTAGTTCTTGTGAAAAAAAAAACAACTGGCAGCTGGATAGTCAAGCAATGCTTTCCCCCTTTTCCCAAGAAGAGGGGGAGGTCATTCAGAGAGCCCAACCAGACAAGGCATCAGGTCTCCAGCTTCAAGCAAACTCCCTTTCATTCTTTACTCTGCATGAGGAACACATGCAGGTGAGCACACGAGCACTAGTGAGGTGTCGTGGAGTCATCTGTTCCACTCCAAAACAGAGGTTGTGACCTCCAGGAAAATACATGAGTCAACTGGTTTACGCAGGCAGAAAAACAAAATCCAGCCCCCTCTTGCCTCAGTGCCACCATCCATTACTCATCCACCAGCCCCCTTGTCCTCTTTACCCTAGCTGATGATACAATCACTGTTATCTTTGGACTTCTTTTACCTTCTTTAAAAGCTATTTTCAGC